AGACCGAAATTAAATTCACTTTACTTTTTTTTTTGTGCAGAACCCTTAATTCCAAATTTAATCGAAATTCACTGGATAGTTTCGGCGATAAAATATGTAAAAATAGTCACGGCGTTCCCCACGCTTTCGTTTTATGCAGTTTATATACTGAACTCGTAAAGAGTATCTGGTTGTTTGTGTAACACCCATCATCCAAGTAGAGGAGTGTTTTTCAACTTGGGAATACCGGATTTTTTGGACTTCATTCATCTTCCCGTATTCCAAAAACAGAACATTTCATAAACAGGATTTGTTTCCGTTCTCGGACGACTGAACCAGTTATTGAGGTTAGATCTTTCCGATGGATCCATCAGAATAAATGTTTCCCACCCCATCACCTGAGGAAGGAAACAGATCCAGTTGCCGAAACGTTATGCTCTTTGCAATACGAACAGTGGACAAAATCCAAAAACTCAGTAATCTCGAGGCGTACACCACATCGTCATAACCCTTTAGAGCATTTCAATTTCGAAGTAAAAATTGAATTTCTCGACACGTTTTGTTTGGTGTAAATATACATAAAGTAAAAAGTAAAGCTATCCCTGTAAGAGGCAGTGAAGGCCCATAGGGTTGTAAGACGTTGAGGCTCCCACATTATCTAGACAATCGGCTCAAAGATGGCAGGAAGTTTGTCAGCCTTACGCGCCGGCCGCGCTTTACTCCCCAGGAAAATTATTTAATTAATTCGTGGTACTCATTTCTGTTAGAGGCTGAGTCAACCCCAGGGCCATAGTGCGGCTGGAAAGATTAGGTCAATTGAAAAAATTCCAGTGACCTCATCGGGACTTGAACCCATTACCTTCCGGCTTGTAGCATAGTGCCTCAACCAACTACGCTACCGCGTGCCCCGTAAATATACATAGCCTTAAATTTTTTTAGAAGTGCCACAATATGCTTTATTATTGTGTTTCACTGTCTGCCTGGATCAAAACCAAATTAAAGGAAGGGAAAATTATGCCTTAGCGAGCAGTCAGTTGACTATACCAAATTAAAAAAAGTTGATAAAAATATGCTGAATTTGGAGAGTGGGGTAAAATGATACCAAATATTATCAGACCTTGAGAGCCCGGCATTAACAAATTAGGATTTGGAAGATGAGTTCAGATATGCCAGTAATAAATAAAGCGGTTAAAATTACAGGTTTAGAAGTTTGGAAGACTTTTATTTGGGGTTACGGCATTTAAACACGCGTCCTTTAAATACATTTAACTACAAAAGAAAAATAACCTTATGCACAGGCACAAAATGTGAAATCCAACTCTAATTATGATCTCCGTTGGCATAATCCTGAATTTTCTGTTTTACAGGGCATCGCGAAATAGCCTATGGATATTTTAGCTAACCAACTCTTTTGAGTTCAGCCCTTCTTGATAAGCTTTCAGTCGCTCAGCTCCTCAATAATTTCCCAACATTTAATGGAACTCGAAAGTTCATTACCACGTTTACAAGAGTTCTCTACTGTCCCTGTCCTGAGCCAGATGTATCCAATAAATTCTATCCCATCCTATGTCTCCAAGAAAATTTTCAATTTTATCCTCCCACCTACGTTTTGGTCGTCCTGTTGGTCTCTTTCCTTCTACCTTTCCCACCAGGTTTTAGATTAGGTCGTTTATCCAAAGAATCCGTCCATCTTCGAGGCTCTATGTAACACTTCATAACAAAATTATTTTTTAAGGAGAGGAGCTGTTAGCCCCAAGCTAAACTCCCAAACTGGAGGACCGCCCCTTGTCGGATGTCCGAGGCTGCTTATTCAATATATTTTCATCCACTTTCGAAACCTGAGCGCCTTCTCCTCCATCCGCAAACTGAGGACGCGCCATTCCGTGGTGACAAGAGACACACTTATCGTTCAGAAAGATGTAAATTTATAATGAATGCATGTAGCAACTTTTTTAAAACAAAAATATCAGAACGTTAGAAAATAGGTGGAAATATTCTGCAGATAAATTAACTTGTACGACGATCTGTTTAAATGTTGATGGTGTAGATACTGTTTTAACTTGGGAACTGCACAATTTGAAATATGCTTACTGTTAAGGATTTTATGAGTATGAAAAATGAACGCCACTTAAAATTTTAAAAACTAATTCCCTTCTCTCTTATTTTTTTTCTGTAACAACAAGTCGATTAAAATCACTCAATTTTCGTTATATTCTTAGATCATCCCATATTTTATACAAATTATATCCGCTAGTTGGTTGGTTTTTTGTTCGTTTGTTTCCCACTTAAACAGATCCTTTGTAATTCGGTTTCGCTTTGGGAAGTATTTCAGTTTAAACACCCTGGAACCTAAAACACGCCTATTTTTTATCAGTCCGTATTTTAATGGTAGTGAGTTCTCTTTATCAAACAATAACAACAGCTAATAAATGATTCATCATTCACTCTTGCTTTGATTCTGCCAAGGACATAGAAGTACTATATTTTGTGGACCTTGTATATTTTATAGACTAGACCTATATTATGTCCTTTTTTTTTCCTGTGGCGCTACAGCCCCAATTTGGGTCTAGGCCTACCTCCATGAAACTCTCCGTTTCACTTCTGTTTACTAGATCTTACACATACGGTAGGACTCCTTGGGCGAGTGATCAGCTCGTTGCAAGGCCTCTACCTGTAGACAAACACAGAAAAACGCACACAAACATCCTTGCCCTGAGTGGGATTCGAACCCACGATCCCAGCTTCCGAGTGAGCGAAGACAGTGCACGCCTTAGACCGCTCGGCTACCGTGACCGGCATATATGTCCTATAATATACTTAATTTTTCATAATTTACAGTACCTTCAGAAGCACTACCATCAGGGTAGTAATTGATTTCGTCGCTTCACAGCAGTGATGTAGCTGTAGAGCAAAAGAATTTAAAATTTGTCTTTCTCTTTCTCTCTTTATGTAATGGAAGACCTTGAGTGAACAGGCGGGCTCTAGGTGAGAGCTACGCCACGTTAAATTATAATGAACCACTTCACACATAATTTTTGACCGGCTGCACAACAAGGGCGACCCGGGCTTCTACCAGACAAGACACCTAACTTTTGTGCGAGAACTCGAACCATGATCGATTAGCAACGTTTCTTCATTAGCGTAAGCGAGATACAGTACAATTTGCGTTTTGAAGTAATTATCGAAACACATTCTAATGGTTGAAACCTCGAACGATTATAGTAGCTTACGTCTGGGCGTATCGTAATCACACCAATCTTAACACGGAGTTTATTCAAGATCTACTTGACCAAATTCATGATAATTTGATACATATCACACAACTCTACATGAGGTGCAGGCTTGCTCAATGCCTGTCGCATCTGAGAAATTATTTAAAAACGAATTCGCGGCATTTTTCTAGTATATAAATGTATTAAACCAAACGAGAAGCAGAAAGGGTTGTATTTCAATTTGAATTTGCTTTCGGTTGATATGTTTATGGAACAAAAGTTAAACATTCTCCTTCGAATTATGAAATTATCGAAACAGTATCTGAAAATACTGACTTTAAGTTTCTATTGTGCCGCCATGCAACTTCGCTGGAAAAAGGCCTGGACTATATTCCAGGTCGCTTCTGTTTCTGCATTCGGACAACAATAAAAAAATCATCAAAAGAGTTCCTGCTGAAACTGTAATTTATATTACTCGATTTCGATATAGCTATTTCTGCATAGGGATATATGGACCAGCGTTCTTAATTGAATGATATTTTATTTACTAACTCAGTTGTTGATGTGTTATACAGTTTTATTAAGGCCATTCGAAATTTTGGTTCTTGGAATAATTCGGTTCCATTTTATGTGGCAACATTGCGTTCTCCATCGCTTAAGGGGCTGGGATGGCGCGCAAAGGCTCGCCGACTAACATAAACAAAAAGTGTACAGCATTGCCAAGTTGTGTAGACTGATGGTTTGGCTACTGGATATTCGTTCTGGCGGGACAACCGCTGAATGAGAGAGACGGAAAATGAGCAAGTGAGTAAGGAGGAACGAAGGATTGGGAAAGAAAGAGAAAGATGGTCGCGGGAATGCAGAGGAATGCCGAAGTTCCAGTCACCCACCCACCCACCTACCCCCTTCTGCCTTACCGGCGGCAGCAACAACGAAGGCAGCAGAAGCTAAGAGAACACACTTGCCGAAGTTCGCCTCATTGAGATGACTGACAGGGTGAACAAACGTCTTACTTGCGTCATTTTCCATACTGAACACAAATAGAGCGACGCTCGAGCTATAACGCAGAAGTAAATTAGGTTTCTAAACTCATCAAAGACTTAAAGAAAGAGTGATGTACGTTAATTTAGAAGTTGTTACTTGGCTGAATTGTATGTAATAGACGACTAGCGAAGGACTTCATTCTCCGAAGGAACTGGTGTGCATAGTAAACATTAAAAGCGGAAGAGCGAAATATAATTGCATGAACCTATCGCAATCGTTTCCTCCACCCCTCCTCCCCCCCGTCTTGGATTGGCTTTGAAATTACATGTGCAGTTCAAGAAACAGGTCTCATATCATAAATAAGTTTGTTTTGACAATTCCACAGGTTTCGAGTTCCTTCTCGCTATCAGTAACATCATCTACAAGACCCAGAATCACACAGTATTTCTAAAAGCATTCTCCCCTTATTGCAGGCAACTAATTAATATTCCCCTCATCGAAGAAAGTTGTTCGAAATCTGTTTCCGGCGGCTATTCATTACATGATCATTTAGTAGCAGTGGACCCGATATAGTAACACTTCTCGGTTTGTAACAGAATAATTACATCAATATCATGATTTACAGCAGACTTACATTTTGCTTTTTGCGACATGTGTGATATTGATTTAGGGCCCCATCGTCTCTGTTTGATGGTGTAACCCGTGCATTTCGTCTCTCATGCACGTGAGATGTCAATATGGCAACACAGCGCCGTGGCGCGGGAGCGAGTTTGAGCCGTTGAACATGAGGTCGGTTGTCTCCAAGTCGGGAGCTAGCTAGTGAGATCCCCGCCGCAGAGGCCGAGCAAAAACTTCAGCAAAAATTGTATGCAGTGGTACGCTGCGTAGCACCTCTCTATAGATGGCTCTTGCGTCAGCGGGTGCAGCCCCGTATGTCAGCCTATATTATTCAATAGTGCAACGAGCAGCATCTCGATATTTTAAGGAATATTGTAGGTCTGGTGAGTTATTTCTGTTTGTACTGTGAGATTCCTTTGGGTGTCTGCTTGCATCCGAAGGAGAGAGACAGGCGTCTCGGTCGGGATATCGCATGGGCACACGCTCGGCTTTAAGGCACCGCATCCCAGCTTTGTTTTTTGATATTTCCTCGTTTTGACAGTTCAGTTGAATAAGTTCTGTCCTTATATCAATTAGTGATTTGCTTTAAGTATTTCCTTAAGTCATTAATTCCTAGTTTTTCTGTCAGTTTGTTTTTGCTTTACCCCATTTTTAATTTGAGTGGCTTGATACAGATCCAGAGGTTCATATTAATATGTGTGGTTAATAGAGGTCAAGTAATAAGTGTATTAATTTTAAGATATAAATACCAAAATCCTAAGTAGCGTAATTCTTTTATGTATCACCTAATAACTATTGGTCACGAGGCATAGGTACAGGAAAACAGCCATGGACGACATGAGATATATTTTAAGAAATTTGTAATAAAATTCTGAAGTGAAAATTGAGATTATGTGCTTCTTGTTCAACAGGCTAACTAGATCTGTCTAAATGGGGCTCAGTCCGTTTAGGCGTCGTGCCATGGTGGCACGGTGAACCCATCCACGTTGTTTCAAACTCTTTGGCACATTTAATGGTGATGAGGAGTGGACATGGCAATAAATTTCTCGGCATCATTTGCGGCGTGCTTGGCCGCTGGCCTCAAGGTGCCCAGGCAAATTATGTACTGCATTGCTCAGGGTAAGAAACAAATTTTCTGACAAGTAGCACTTCTATCAAGAATGTCAAGGATTGTGGCACATCTTGATAAATGAACTTAAGGATTGCATGTATGGGGACTTTTCCATTTCTTTATTCTGGGCTTCTCTTTTTAGTTCAGTTGGTTATTGTAATTTTGTTTTGATGTTTATTTTTTAGTTTTCCCATTTAAGTGCCTCATTTCCTCTTGTATGCTTTTTGCACTGGGGGTAACATTGCAAGCAGCATTATGTATGAAAACATTCATGTAACTGTAGCTGTGTAGTTACAGGAATCGTGTCATGTATTAATAACTTTTATTTATTTATTTTGTAAAGCAGTTATGCATTATATGTGCATTCAGTATGGTGTTCTGCAAACTTAAATTTACGTTTACATGCATAAGAATTTCTAAGATCTAGGAAGTGATTAAGGATTAATTGCTATTTGTACTCTTTATACAACTTGAAGACATTTTAACCTTTTATTATAGATGTATTAGGTATTGGACTGTAATTCTCCAAAAATATGAGAATTTATGAAGTGAACGAAGACATGAAAAGAAGAAGAAGTATGAGAATCTAATTACAACAGCTAAAGGAGACCGTAGATTAAGATTTTATATTGAAAAAGTCAGCATCTGCTAGTGTTATTTTAACTACGGTAGTGTGAAAGTTTCACTGGGTGATGCCGTGTACTATCATAAGATCAGTTTATTTCTTTCAAGTATAGAACAGCATTCAAATCCCTTCAGATAACATGTTCAGATATAAACATTACTTCAAGAATGCTATGTAATCTGTTGAAAAATCGGCTCACATTTCAGAGGGATATATCGTCTCCATCTTCATGGTTGAGGAAGCAGCCGGGCATGAAACAGGTAGCAAACAGAGCTCTGTTTGTTGCCCGCTTTATGCTGGTTTCTTGCTTGGCTTATTCTTTGAGCCTAAACATATTCTCCCAAAGCGTCTGTTGCATTTCAACGTACTACACAGCATTATATCCCAGAAGATAGAACTCTCCATAACCGCTGTCGGAAGTTCAGATCTGATACAAACGTTACTTTATAATTAAACAAATGGTTGTGCTGGTTTGTTTCGTGTTGAGCATTTTTTTTTAATTGTCATACGTAGTGAAAACCCTACTTATGTTTTCTTTGTGGAGCATCAAATTTGAACACTGAACAGAGCAAAAATCTTAAATGGAAGAAGTTTAATGCTGAAGATTCTTGATTTGGGATCATTGAAGATGGAACGTTAAATGTGGGTTCCTCTAGACGTGTCCATTTTGGATACTGTACAGTAATGAAGATAGTTTTTATAGTTTTTTTTTTTTTAATCGGTTGCTGTGCATTTGATTATGTCAATTATAATCTATTCTTGATACACATATTTACACTTTATGTTCCTGAGAAGGTTCTGTCTGGTGCTGTATTTGGCTTTAAGTCACTGAGGTTTGAAAATTACATTATGTCTGTCAGGTTAATGATGCGCATTAGATACCGTTGAGAGCTATCCCTCTGTTACCTTATGTTTTTCTCCTTTAAATATCCACTTAAAAATTCTTGCAACAAAGGAGGATGCATCCTACTGGCTGTGACTATGAAGTACATTAAAACAGAAGAGGATGCATTCAAGAGCATAATGCAGGTAGAATTAATAATATAAAAAATTTGTTTTTGCTTAATATGGCATATGCTCTGTTGCATTATGCAACAGAGCATAATTGCTTTGTAGCAGAATCTTTGTTGTTTAATTCACTTCCTTTTTATTTTTGTTTCAGGTGACTTCTTTCTTGTAATTATTATTTTGCAATGTATTTTTTAATTTTAATAGTGTAGGTTAGAATTATAGTATGTAAGAGTTGAGTGCATTCATATGCTCCTGATTGCTGTGATGTGACAACTGAGACATTCATGTCTTTAATCTGAAGTATTTCTCCATTACAGATACAGGGGCGCCCTACGTATTATATAAAGACGGAATGGATAGGCCTCAAGGGCAACCTGGACAGTGGGGCCCTGGGGCACCACAAGATGGAGGTTATCCTCCACAGGGGTCGACATCATCTGGGAGTCCACAGCAGTCATGTGGTGGTCCTGGTGGAGAAGCAGATGGACCTGCATCTTCAGGGACCAGTGGATTGCCACCAAGTAGGGATCAGCAGCAACAGGGTACAATGACGTCACCTGTTCCCTCACCCTATGCTCCACCACAGTCAGCACCACCTGATCCTGTGCAAGCACCACCTCCCCAAGGACCACCACATGCACCAGGAGAAGAGGATCCATCACAGCAGCAGCAACAGCAGCAAATTCAACAACAGCATTCTCCTGGTACCCAGCCTCAACCTCCACAGGCCCCACAGCCGCCGCCGCCGCCACCACCACAGCCTCAACCACAACCTTACGGGGATGTGGACCAACAGCAGCAGCAGCAGCAACATCAACAACAACAGCAGCCACCTCCACCTCCTCCACCACCACAGCCCCAGCAGCAAAGACCCCCGCAGTGTTTCCCACCCACAGGTGGCCCTGGTCCAGGTCAGCCAGACATGCAGCAGCAGGCATATCCTGGCCAACATTACTTTAAAGATTCACGTGGTCATCATGCACCAGCCATGCCTCCACACATGCTGGCACCCGGTAGCTTCACAGCCCTGCACTACCTAAAACAACCAGGTGTAATGCTCACCTCACTTGGACCAATGGGAACGGGAGGTGGTGGGGAAAATGGTGGTCATTTGGGGGATGGAGGCGCTAATGGACACCCTTATGGCACAGCGGGTGCTACGATGCAGGACATGAGAGCTGCGTCCCTCCCCGACATCATCCAGCAACAGCAGCAGCAACAACAACATCAGGGTGTGGTGGGGAAAGCAGGAAAGGGTGGAGCAAATGGAGAACTAAGGTTGTTCAAGTGCTTAACGTGCGGAAAGGACTTCAAGCAGAAGTCAACGCTACTCCAGCATGAACGAATCCACACGGATAGCCGTCCATATGGGTGCCCCGAATGTGGGAAACGGTTCCGGCAGCAGTCGCACCTGACGCAGCACCTTCGTATCCATGCAAATGAGAAGCCGTATGCATGTGTGTACTGCGAGCGTACGTTCCGGCAGCGCGCGATCCTGAACCAGCACCTGCGCATCCACTCTGGTGAGAAGCCCTATCAGTGCCCAGAGTGCGGGAAGCACTTCCGCCAGAAGGCCATCCTCAACCAGCACGTCCGCACACACCAAGGCGAGCGACCTTTCTCTCTGACTACCACCACGCTGCCGGTCGACCGATGCATCAGCGCTAAGTTGGCCGCGCTCTTAAAGATCTGTAGTAGTGCTGCCGCAAGTCAGACACGACTTTGAAGCGTCAACTGCACGATCGAGTAAATGCAATTTGCAAGCCAAGTATGGTTGTTACCAACATAACTTCTCTGGCTCTGTTGTGCCACTGTCAAAATTTTAAGTTTGCCTTGTGTGCGGTTGTCGTCATGTGTTTTGGCCTGGAGGATATAGCAAAGTCTAAATTATTACTACTGCTGTTATTTGAAACTTAATGAGCATTATATTGTCATAAATGCAGTAAATACAAACTAAAATAACAGTTGACATATGGCATCTCGTAGTATATTCCTCGGCTTTTGTGCTTTTCGTTTGGGTGAACGTGTTACATGTTTGATTAAAATATAAGACAAATTTTAGGTAGCGCTATGTAGAGTAGAGAGCAGGCAGGTAGATATATCTTGCTGTGTGGTTGGTTCTTAAATTTATGGTCTGAAGTATGGGGTTTTGTAGTGGGGAAGTTATGCTGGGACAATTATACTATGCATATTCCTTTCTGTCTCGGCTGGTAAACTGCATTGATGAGAGGTATGAACAGGTTCAAAATTATATTTTCCCTCACCTACTGAAAATCAGGATAGAAGATTGAATGTACCAGCTATTGGGGCCATAAAAAGTACTGGTAATATGGATAAAATTTGTTTCTTGCTACTTGCTTCATTGTATATTATTAACGAAATGGAATTTGAATGTTCATGCATGTAATGTTGGCTCTACAAGGTTGGTTTGTGTGTCTTGTTGTGTCCTTGCAGATGTGAGTCCCCATCTGGTGTTCAAGAACGGAATGACACCAACGCTGTGGCCGCAGGATGTGCCATATCCACCGGACTCAGAAAAGGATGATGCCGCTTCAACATTTGGCGGCGGTGAAGATGGGAGTTCACAGCAGGCGGATCAGCGGGGCAATGGACAGTGTTTCTCCCCTGACTCACTCCAGCAATACCCCGCATACTTCAAAGACTCTAAGGGGACAAACCATGCAGCGTTTGGGGGTGGGAACTTTGGGGCACTTCAGTACCTGAAGCAGGGTCAGGGTGGTAAGGGTTGCTTGCCTGATGTGATACAACACGGACGAAGCGCAGGCATGCCCTTGTATGTGCGCTGCCCAATCTGCCAAAAGGAATTCAAACAGAAGTCAACGTTGTTGCAGCATGGCTGTATACATATAGAGTCTCGACCGTATCCATGCCCAGAATGTGGGAAACGATTCCGGCAGCAGTCACACCTGACACAGCACCTACGCATACATACCAACGAAAAGCCGTATGGCTGCGTGTACTGTGGCCGCAACTTCCGTCAGCGCACCATATTGAACCAGCACCTACGCATTCATACAGGTGAGAAGCCCTACAAGTGTTCGCAGTGTGGTAAGGACTTCCGGCAGAAGGCTATTCTAGATCAGCACACTCGGACACACCAAGGTGACCGCCCTTTCTGCTGTCCTATGCCCAATTGTCGACGTCGCTTCGCTACAGAACCAGAGGTAAAGAAGCACATTGAGAACCATATGAATCCTCATGCAGCTAAGTCTCGCCGTAGCAACAACTTGACAGAAACAAAACATCACCCTGTTGGAGTTATGGGGGGTGCAGGGGATCGTGGGCCCTCCCTGCTCTCTCGAGGTATTCCCCCCACAGCTGTGGTGAAACCAGAACTGTACTTCCCCCAGTGCTATGCTCCAGCATTTAACCACCAACCGACTACAGGCCCTGGTGTCCAGTTTCCCGGTAACCCTAATCCTGCACCTGGCAATGGGGAGTTCAAACCTCCCACAGGTCTCCCTGCACAATGACTAGCCGCCGCGTCACTCCGGAACTGAAGTCAATCTTCTGGTGAAGAGGCATTGCCGTGTCTCGTACTCGACTTAATGCCAGTCTTAGATTGGTTTAATAGTATGTGATAGATATAATTTGCCAAGATTTTAAATGATGACATAGGAGAAATGTACATAATTTTGATTGTAATATTATAGTGTCTTGAAATAAGGAAGAAGAGAGATTAGTTGTGTTATATATAAATATATAGATAACTTTTATATTAATGCCGTAATAACGCTTGTGCTGAAACTTTTGAAAAGGGAAAAAAATTGTAGATAATATATATATATATTTTACGTGATTTTCGCGAGGTGCTGTTGCAAGCAATGAGCAGCAGGTGTTCTTTACCTGCAGTGTTCATATTTTTGTGGCAGCAAGCTATTGTTGCACATTGTGGCAATTACGTATGGAAGAAACCTGTCTTACAGTTTATATACACAAGAGATTTTAAAATGGAAAGTGGTGGCAATATACCGTCTTATCAATTTATTAATATTATTACATAACGCAAAGATGATTAAATGTATTCTTCTTTTGTGCTGTTACTTGTTTGATCTCGTCCGGACATCAGTTACAGATCTGTTACAATGCATGGTTTTGTAAAAGTATTGTTCGTAGTGCCTATAGTAGCATTGTGTTTTACTCTTGTTCAGAAAGTGAGCACTTACTCTCCAGAATCAAACTTTTTACTCTGTCTGGTGTGGAATGAAACATTCCTCTCCATTGTTGCCACGTGAAGGGGAATAAATTACACATGCATTTGAAATACGTAAAATTTGCATTTGAAATGGCAAAGGTATTCGTGACCAAACTTATTTGGTCTTGAGAAAATGTGTGGCCACTACATACAGGGTCATGGCTTTAACAGAGGGAAAGTAATGAAATCTTATGTAGTTTTACATATTCGTAGATCTGTGTTGCGTTGGAAACACTTGCCATTTAAATATATTTGGAGTACGTTGGAATGTACAGTGTTTGGTATGTGTTTAGAAATTTAGTTCTGCTATATTTGTTGAGAACATGCCTCTGCAGCCACTGTTGAGATTCTCATTTGTGTGTGTATGTGTGTGTGATTTGCATGATATATAAGTTATGAGAGATTGCACCATGAATGCCAGAGATATCCAGCACATCGCATAAGACTTCATACAACATGTTCACATATTTAACATGTTCTTTCAAAATCTGAGCAAAGTAATTTCCATCAATGAACACAAGTTATTGCTCACTCAGATCATGGCTGAGCACTGTCCTCCACAAAAAAAAAAAAAAAAAAAAAAAAAAAAAAAAGGCCTCAGGTGTGTTGCAACTTGTTTGCTTTGTTCATGAGCACTGATTGGTATGTACTGTGAATTTTGCAAAACTTACAGCTACAAGCATTGTTGTTTGGAGTTAAAATGAAGATCTGACAACATTGCTACATTCTTTGACCTAAGTTAGCCTTGCTGCATCACATGCAGGCAGGGCTGGACATAATTAAATCATAGATCCACCATAATTATAGTCACTAGTACCAAAATTAAGAAGCAAAGCTAAATTTTATTTTAACATTCAATGGCTTGTTAAAATATACAGATTTCTGACCTATATTTTGTTTGTTTAAATCTGTTATCCTTCTGGAATGTCTGGAATAGAAAATATGGATGGATTTACCATAACATTTCCTTCATGAACATTTTATGTTTCATGTCTACATGTATTTTCAGAGCTTCAGGTGAAATTGATTATTGTGATGGTTTATAATTTGGAATTTGAGGACAGCACAGGATTTTAGTTAAAGAGCCGACAGGTAGCAGGAATGCCTGAATTTCTATGTATTATCAAAATTTTGATAATTTACCAAATGACATGGCACAGGAAAGAAGTCTCATGCAGTTACCAAGTTTGAAGACATGTATATTTAACACTAAAATTACAGATTACTGTATCCAGTCTTCAGTACAAATTTAATGAAGAATAAATTTGATGGCGATAATGGTTAACACTTTGCATTTGTAACAGAGATACATACTGGTGTGTGTCCATTTTTAGTAATAATCTTCCATGAATTTATTAGTTTTTAAATTAAAATTTCATTTCTTTGCATTGTAACTAGCCAGGTGCCGGGTCAAATGATGAAGCCCCGAACTTTGAGAATATGAAAATGCCCTGTCTCATCATGGCTTTTGTACACCTCAGGAATGGTGATAAGTAAGTACAAAGCAATGATTGAATGCATCTTGGCAGGGAGAAATTGAGGAAACTTTGAGAAAATGTTCAGTATTGCTTCGTGTACCATAGTGCCGAGGGTTGAACTGAGTCTATGATGAGAAGGTACCATCTAACTACCTGAGTTATGACTTAGCAGTGGCTTCCAAATATAACTAAATATTATAACATCCCACAGCATTCTGAATATGGTGTTGTGTAGTAGTGATTCATGTCCGATAATGTGTGAACTTGATCTGAGAGAAAGGAAAATGATTCCAAACTTTAATCAATCATTGTCGTTATTGGCATTGCAGTGCCAGATTTTAATATAATGTATGTTGTACCTTGCTGGGGTTTAATTCCTGGCAGGAGCAAAAAATGTTACTCTTCTCCACAGACCAGCTCTGGGGTTCACCCATCATCCTAATCAGTGCAGAGCATGGCTCTTTCCCTGGGGTAAAGTATCCACCATATAGTGCCAAGGTCAAGAATGGTGTAGCTATACCTCCACTCCCCACACACCTTCATGGCGTGATGCTTAATTAAAAAAAAACAACTGTACCTTATTGAAACTTATTTTGCTTGGCCATCAAAATTATGATGGTTCATAGGCTGGAGATATATGTTTTCTTTTATATGTAAATGAATTGTTCATGATAGATGAATTAGTATGTGACTGTTCTGGCATCTGTGGCATTCCTAGGTGACTGTTTGGATTTCTGTGTGTGTGTTGTACTCATAGTGTTTTGGCTATTGTTGTCATCTGAGATATAACTGATTTGCACACCGTTGGCTCTGCTATCATCTCTCTAAGTTTCTACTTTTTATTTTTAAGATTGGTGGTGACCAAATGTTATAGTGGCGATTTCTTTTGATTAGTTATTTACTTACACTTAGCAGTATCAGATGATAGGATGATTAATTAATGTAGATGTCATTAGAATTGGCAGGGGAAACTGAAGTACTTTGAGGAAACCTATCCCAGTGCCACTTTGTCCACCACAGATCCCACATGGCTTGACCTGAGATCAAACCCAGGCCACACCCATGAGAAGCCACTGACTGACCATGTTTTAGTGTAGTATTCAGAAGCCACAGATTTCAGTCCTGAATGTTGCCACTGATTTTATAAATAAAGGATAATGAAAAATGTGAACAATATGATACCAGAAAAGAGGAGTTAAACCAACTGCCAACACTGTGTACATAATATGTATGAAGACGGTTGACAGTGTTAGACATAATAATGATGTAACAAATCAACTGTTAGTCACAAATGTTTAAAGAATGATTGCACTTGAAGAAAGTTGTCTTCTGGGTTTTGGCGCCGTGTATTCTTCATTTTGGCCGACGTTCCTCTGAAACGTCGGTCAAAACGAAGAATACACGGCGCCAAAACCCAGAAGACGACTCTTCATAGTCATCGCCGTGAGAACCTCAAAACTTAAAATGATTGTACTTGATTACTGATCACAAATGAAATCCACCTAATGATTTACCGCCTGGAAGATGTGCCAAATAACATGAGAATGTTCCTTGGCAATTAGTCATGCTAGATGTACCGGTGATATTTTTATGTTTGAGGAGTGGAACAGGTAGTGGGAATAACATCCAACTTAAAATACAGTAGCTAAAGATGAAGGCAATGATTGATCTTTTGCTCCTCAGCAGGTTGGACTGCATGTAATTTCCGACTTCTTTTAGTCTTGCCATCTTAGTTGTCGCAAGTTCTGGCTACTGAAACAGTGTGTGCTAGTTCAGTTAGACATTTAAAAAACTGAAACAGAATATTTCATAAATCTATGTAGATAGTTTTTTCTTTCTCAAAGTTTTAGACCTCTTCGTCATGTTCCTGCATGTAACATGAGTAGTGTATGCGTTATATACCAGAGATGGCCAACCATACATCCACAGACAATTTATGCCCCCCGAAGGGTTTTGGATGCCTGCTAGGTTTTTAAAATATTTCAGTATTCGTGCAATTTTCCTATGATTGCAAATTATATAGTGGGTTATGGTCCGGGAACCAAACATCTGTTTAGCCCTGAGATATTGTAAATGTTTAGATTGTGTTGAGATGTTACATTAATTGTGAGGTTTTAATACAAATAATGGCAACATTTTGGAAGAAAATGTTTTATTTTCTATTGGTTCTTAGCTCCCATGATGTTAACTATTGATATTCATTTAGATCTTGGGTGTTTACGTTGTGTGGATATGTTCAGTGTTGTCAGAATTTCAGAGGTACATGCTCACTCTGTCCCCATTGATGGCCCTTAAAAGGCTGTTCCTTTCCTTTCACAGTGTCCCCTGTCCCCATTTGCCTGGATGGCAGAAACAAACAAAAACATAAACCTGCATGTAGAAACCCACCCATCTTTCATCTTGAAAACGAAAGCAACATGTACCTCCAGAATATTGGCAACACTGCCCACAACCGAACAGTAAACACCAGAGAGCTGAATTAATGACATTATGTATGAATGTTTTATGAGATAGCATGACAAAACAGTGTTTTGGAAAATACCTTGATGTGCAGTACAAGGTGAAAAACTGTTTGTAATGTAATTATTTCAATTAACTTTTTTTCAGTAGATTCATACAGTGGCTGCTATAAATTATAATACTTTCCTTATTGTCTGTTACCCAGAAAGTTGGTGCTCTTTTGATTTAAACATGCTGAATTGCCTAGATTTTATTATGTTATAAATCTCTTCCAGTGATTTCATTTGAGTGGTCATGCCTAATGTAAGGTTTTTTAAATTTATTTTTTAGAAGTAAGATTAGGGTTAAAATTTTGTCCCATTGAATTGCACAGTGACCCTCAGTTTTCCTTCAGGTTTTCTTTTTTAATCTAGGATGGGAGAATATATGTAGGGAAGTTATTGGACCATGAAAATGTCTGAAATGGAAAATTACTGGAGGGAGAATTCATTCTTTTCTGTAATTCATATAAACAACACTTATTTTTTATAGTATAATCATTATAAATATTGATATACTTTCTACTGTCACACCAACTTTTTGTTTGAAGTAAAATGGAAGTTTGCTCATCCCTAAGATATTTATAAGCACAACCTTTATAAAGTAGATTTGAAAATATTGCAAGGAGAAAATTAAGTTAGTCATTTTGCTCTCATGTTTAAGGGGAGAATTTTTCTTCTTCAGTTCATGTTATTGGGCAATAAAGCCAAATTCAACTTCATATGTTCATTGCATCTTTCCCACAGTCTGAGGTAGAAATTATGCAAATGGATCTACTGTGTATAATAAAATCTCACACAGAGTTCCTGCCTAAAATTTTGTGGTTCTGTGTTGTTTTCTGTTGACCATGAAGGTCAGGACCAGGAAATGCTTTCTGATAGTGTTCCATACTGTTGAAAGGCAGAAACAAAATGTCTACTGCAGTACCATAATGCAGAGTAAACCCATAAACAAAATTCTATTCAGAAAATTATCAGGTTATACAGATATTTTAAAATAGATTAAAAATTCTTGACCAAAGTAACTATCATAAATAATTTTCTGACACGTTTTTTACAGTCACACTTAATAATAAGATAGAAAATAATGGAAAAGTTTTTGTGTGCCTTATATAGTGAATCTCCTTTTGAAATTATGGCCAAAGATCTGAATTCTTTCACATAACTCCTAATGTTGGAAATTTGTGAACTCAGAGACTTCATAGATTCATTTTTCTGTACTTATGGACAGAGAAGAGAGGTGTTTAGTGTGGTCTAATACATGGGCATAAGGTACCACTGTTTTCAATACATTTTTTTCCAGTAAGTTTTCAAAAGGAAGGGCTTTTATGAGCTGTTCCATGGAAGACTATCAGGACAGTGTTGCTGTATTAGGTTATTATAAACTGTTGATATTAGTGAGGGAACAATTTATTTCAGTTAGAAAATATTGAAAATGCAGAATATTAAGTGAATGATATGTTGTATTTCCCAGAATATTAATTTAACTGTTACAAGACTGGTCTTCTGTTGAATGTTATTTCATGAAACAGTGAACTTGTATGATGCATTATAACTCGTAATACTGAAGTTAAAAAAGCTAGGGCTTTAAAGACAGATGTGCTGCATTACACCAGATCTCTTTTTAACTTGTTTGAAGTAGTGAAGTGAATGTGAATGTGAATGGAGTTCTTTGCCTTCCTCCAAGGATTAGATATGGGTACCTATCTGCTTATCTTACAAATTGACATGTTGTTGTTCACGTGGTCAGGTTGTGGAACTGTGATTGGATGATGGAACATATTCTGCGTTTGATGGTTGAAATGATGTAGGTTTCTGCATGCTTAAACTTTTCTCTTCTTCTTTCTTCGAGATATGTGGGAACCATTTCTTCATATAGCTGTATAATTTTATTTCCTACCCTAGAATTTGATTCTGGTTTCAGGAAATAATTGGTGGCTAGGAACCAAATATTTTTGTTTAAGCATGCATGTGTAACACAAGATTATAGAAGTTTGTTTGATAGTTATTGGTTTTTCCAATTTTGCAGTAAATTCCCTGGCAATTCAGTTTACCTTCATGCCTTTGGCACTAAAACAAATCCTTGCAAGAAGGAACAGCATGAACCTAGAAAAGTTGGATATACCTGTATTGTGGTGTCCAAAATCTTTAATAAAAGTAATATACTTCTAAAGCCCAACTGTTTGAAATTGAGTTATGATTAATTGTATGTATATGTTCTTTGAGTAAGTAAGCAAAAGTAAAGCTATCCCTGTAAAAGGCCGTGAAGGCCCATAGGGTTGTGAGACGTTGAGTGTCCCACATTATCTAGACAATCGGCACAAAGATGGCGGTAAGGTTGTCAGCCTTACATGCCGGCCGCACTTTACTCCCCAGGAAAATTATTTAATTAATTCATGGTA